GGTAAGGGGAAGGGAGGCTGGTGAGAAACCAGTTAAGAGTCACAAAGATGGATTGCGTTTTGTAAACACGAGTATACTAACAATCCTAATTTGATCACCACATATTGTACACACGTATTGATATTCGATTCTGTACCCTACAAATATATATAATCAGTAAGAAATATAAAAATTTTTTAAAAAATCTTCTGTATCCTCATCACATTCTGACCAGGGGAATACCATTGTCACCTGCCTCTTACTGAGCCCTATAACCCATTTGGATATTTATTGGATATTTATTCACTGATCAAACATTTATTAAATGGTATATTATGTCCTAAGCTCCATGCTAGAGGCTGGAGGCACTAGGAAAGGTGAAGTTCCTGTGCCCTAGCCTAGCAGACATTGAGTCTGCTTAAATAGGGCCAAGGTCCAGGGCATCTCCAGAAGACCAAGGTGGTTCTGAAATTCTGACCCTGCTTCAAGTCTTGTCCTGATCTAGAGTGATCGGAAGTCCCAGTTCCCCCACGACAGTCCATAGTTCCATAGGAATTGTTAAGAGCATCACCAAGTACTATCAAATGTGTCCCAGTTCAAAAAGCAAATTACCTGGCCACCCTTCCATTGTTCAGAGTTAATATAAAAGGGCAAGACTCAACCTTACAGACAGCTCCTTCTTCATGACTCTTCCTAGAGCAGATGGAGGACCCTGGCAAGCCCGGGTCTAAGGCAAACCTTAAATCTGGCAACCACAACATTGTCCTGCTAAAAACCTATAAGCAGCCGAAGAATACCTTAAAGTTTCTCCACTTCTGTCAGAGGGGACCAGAGCAGCAGTGAGGAGAACGTGCAGAGTTAGAGGGGCAATGCAGAGGGAGGTGGGTGCAGCTGGACAGCAAGGGTGCACTGGCAGAGAGATTCGGTCTCAGACCTCTGCAGGCATAGAGACAATGCCCTTCCACTCAGTGAAGTTGTAAAGAGGATAGTTTATCAAACAGAGAACAGTTTGATACTTCCAAGTCTGACACAGGGGCACGTACCAGTGAGACTATTCCAGTTTGTAAAATATTGAAATGATTTTATACTTGTTAGTAAATAGCCAGAGCAGCAAGAAACCTGAAAATTCCACCCTGGCTTCCCATCCCTTCCCCAGAACACAAGACCTCCCATATGCTAACATCTGCAGGTTTAATACCTGGCCAAGCTGGAGACCTCCAGGAACTTGCCCCACAGCTCTGTCCCAGTCTATGCCAATTGGTCAATGCCCATACCATGGTAATGGTGGCTTAATATTGAAATATTATCCCTGGATACTTTCACAGCATTATAGACAGAAGAGGGCTGGAATGACTCAGAATATAGAAGAGCAGAATAGGATGCAGAAACACAGAAGACTCTGAACCAGTGAAACTGCATGTCAGATTCCCAATGCTCTGCCTCTCTGAGCTTTGAACAGCCTGTCATGCTTAGGACCCATCATTTCCACCATTTAATGTCCCCAAGGCCTAGGCCCTTCTCCTTTCATTACCCAGTGGCACCAGCTCTAGCCCATTCTCTGATCAGTGTCCAGCATTTGAGGAAACTTGGTGGCCCTGGCCATCACATTCATCTCTGTGATTTCTTCCCATCTGCTGCCTCTATTGCCAGTAGTTGTCAATGAAGCACTCCATGGCACCAGATTTGGAGGCAGGCATTGCAAATTACAGCAAGTTTTCTGCCAACTGTACATTGGCAAAACAGGGATGATGCAGTAAACAAAATATCATACCACTAAAACGTTCACAACTCAGGCTGGGGCTACATGTGGAACGCTGATCTTCCTAAGAGAATTTTTTAAGAGTTAATTTCACCTCTAGTTCACTAGCAAGCTGGAAATAATCTACATTTATCCAAGCTGCAGTACCCATACTATGCCCTCTGCTCTGAAGAAGCTTAAGGAAAGAGGGTCAGGGGTNGCTGCAGTACCCATACTATGCCCTCTGCTCTGAAGAAGCTTAAGGAAAGAGGGTCAGGGGTCCTGAGTTCCAGGATTGTTATTTGCCTGATGTGAAACCGGGCAAGTCACTCATCCTTTTAGCATGTTCTTCTCCTTGGCTGCTAAATGGGCAAATAACATGGTTCCAGCTTCCTGAAAAGACTGTTGTGGGGAGAAGGTCAAATGAGAGAAAGCATGTGAAAATGCTCCCGGAAGCCAAGTTTTCTACAAAGATGAGGGGTTATTGTCAAATCAGTAGGGTTACAAGAGTGAAAACATTCACTTGCAGTAGACACATCCTGAGCTCAAGACCCAGCATCCCAGGAACTCTGAATACAAAGGTGAGGGAAAGCCAAGGCAGAATGAACTCCATCAAGAAAACGGGCCTTCAAACAATGTGCTTCACACACTGAGAACTTGGGCTTGGAAATAAGCATTTTCAAAACCTTTGACACAGAAATAAAAAAAAAACAAAAAAAAAAAACAAAAAACAAAATACTGCCTTGCCTTATAGAGTAAAAGAGAACTGATTAAAAGAGCTACCTTCAATCATGTTACATAAGGATTATTTGCTGATTAAATTCTAAAAAATACTAGTAATAATAGTTCCTAGTTATACTCTACTTCATCCTGTAGAAATTCACTTAGTGATGCCCTGAGTTTTATAGGCCTCCTTATATGCATTTTTCTTCCCCCCCATTTCTTCTCTTTCATCTCGAGGGGAGGGGTCTGCCAACCACTATCTATGAGGCTGAAAGCTTTCATAAGGGTAATTTTGCATAGAAATTCACTTAGTGATGCCCTGAGTTTTATAGGCCTCCTTATATGCATTTTTCTTCCCCCCCCATTTCTTCTCTTTCATCTTGAGGGGAGGGGTCTGCCAACCACTATCTATGAGGCTGAAAGCTTTCATAAGGGTAATTTTGCCTTTACCACCCAGAACCTTCTATTAAGATTTGCTTGGGCATCTGTTTCCACTGACATCTAGGTGCCTCTGGGTGAATCCACGTGCTCAAGAGTTAGGGTTCCAGATATGCCACAGCTCACAGTGTGATCTTAGGTCAGTCACTTCCCTCTCTGGGCCTTGGCTTTTTCACCTGGACTTGACAAAAGCCTGCTCTTTCTCAGCATTAGCAAGAGTCTTCCTGAGAGACCTCTAGAGCAGAGTAATACCCTGAGGTGTGTTTCGGGAAAGCACGGACTGGAGTAAAAGCCGATGGTTTCCATCACAAAAAAGCCAATCCCAGGGGGTAAGAAAAAGAAGTACCCATTAGTGGGGTCCACCTCCCACTCCCACCAAAGGTCACCACTCCCTGCCCAGGGTCCTCTGGTCCTTGGAGTCCTGAGAACAATACTCACCTGGGCAGTTAGTGTGAAGAGAGAAATTTGTCCTAAGTGGACTTCTAGAAACCAGGCTTGTCGTGAAAAAAACAGCAGGAAGTGTGACAGGCCATCCCACCACTTCCCTCCTCAGGCTGGCCTGGCCTTGAACATTATTAAATCTTTCCTCAATAGGTTTGAGAATTTTTGATTTCCTGTGAACTTCCCAATGTATTTCACTGCTAATCCTCATGGCCTGGAGTAGGTGCATGGGGCCTTTCATTTTTCTTGTTGGCTGCTGAAGCAGGAAGAACGGGGAAAGACAGTTTAAGGGTTTGACTGACTTTTAAAAAATTTTTTTTAGAACAAACAAACTCATCACTCTTACTTGCTGAACTGTTTTCTGAACTCTTTCACTCATTAGCTTTTCCCATCCCAACTTCCTCTCAAACGTTAGACCTCTGAGCTCCAATCTTCATTTTCTTCGTATCATTTCAACTTTTTATGTCATTTCAGACTCTTTCTTGGAGCTGTTAGAGAAATTCTCCCCATCTCCTTTAACGGATGAGAAAACTCAAGGTACAAGGGGATTGAATAGTTAGCTTAAGATTAAATAGCAGCCAAGCACCTTGTCAATGTGAGCAAAACCTCATAATCCCTGAAAAAACCACACATTGAGAAACAGGTTGCCAGATAAAGTGAGCGTTATAAGCAATTCCCCAATTCCCCAAAGACATTAGACTATGCCAAAAAAAAAAAAAAATAGGAGAGGAAAAAAAAATGCCATTGCAGGTGGAAACTCTGCCCAGGGCATTGGCTATGCATGCCTGAAGACTGTCATTTGATATCATTCTGATGTGTCACTGTTCAGTCAGACCACGGTGATCATCATGAGCTAATATTTGCTGAGCGCCAGGCATTCTTTCAGACACTATCAGAGAAGTGTAGTGAATATTCTCGAAGGTGATCAACTGCTTATGGGCTGTTGGTAACAAGCATTTGCAATCCTGTTCTCTCCAATAGTTTAGCAAGGCCAGCCAAGGAAAAGTGGAGAGGGGGGTGGAGACAGGTGACCTAGAGTCAGCACCCAGTGTCTCTTCCTTAATGGGCGCATGGCCAGTCCTAGGCTACCACGAAGAAGCAATGGTACTTGATGTTCCTTAATAAACAAAATTCTTAACCTGAGTGAATAAAAAGCCATCGTGAGCCTCTATTTGCTCTCAGCAGACCGTTTTCTAAAAGCATCTCTGGTGTGGGAGTGTGGGGGGTTTACTTTTGGGGGGGTCACCTTGCCATTACTTCCTTCGGTTGATTAATACGGAGAAAGCACCTCTCACCACACCATCATCTTAAACTGTTGAATCCTGCCTAATAGCCAGAGCGAAGTTAATGGTTGAAGTCCCTGGGGAGTTTTCAGGTGAAGGAAAAGCAGGAGGCTGCCAGGCAGGGAAGACAGAGGTGTTAAAGCTGGTTTCTTGTTTTGTGTTGTTTTTACCCTAATGCAATCTAAAAGTAACTTTTACAATATAGATCTTATAGTTATTTTTTCGGTAAGCCTATTTTTCTCCTAATTGTCACCTTTCTAGGAAACCATCTTTAACCATTTCCCTCCATGATTCCTACCACTGTGGCCCACTCCTTAGGAATATCAGAAATAATTCAAATCAGTACAATAGAGAAAAAAATATTTATTTTCTAAAGTCATTACCTTGACAGGCAAAATGAAGCATTTTCTCAATTTCATTCAGAAATACATTTTAAAAAAATACATAGACCAATATGGCCTGGCCGAACATATATTCAACATGGTAAATATAAGGAATAAATTGTTTGAATATAAATATCTTTAAAAAAATAAGTACACCAAAATACAATCCAACCTCTTCCATTAACCAGTTACATAAAGAAAAATGATTTTACTGCTTGGAAACATGACCAACATTTACTTTTCAATATCTTTCATAAACAACCCTATACCATTGTGTTTCTGAAAATCAAGGTAAGAGAATCTCCTGATTCAATGATCTCTTTCTTATGGATCAGAGCTAGTAGATTACCATGGAAATGTTATATCTACCACTGACACATTAGACCAGACTTCTATGAGGCTAGGATTTGGGGGAGGGGGTGGCAGGAGGGGAGGAGCTGGGGTGGGCAATAATTAAAAGTGGAAAATACTTCTGCCAGAGTGCAATACAGGTGAGGTAGACTCATATTCATGAAACACATCCTGATATACAGTAGTAACAGTTTCTTTCAGTTTTGCATTTTATGAATTTTTTAAAAAGTCTTTTTTTTTTTTTTTTTTAACTCGAGTGTTTGTCCTTCTAGTGTGTTTTCAATTTGTGCATTCCTTAGAAAAGCTTTGCGTGGACTTTGGAGTTTCTCCCTGAAATGTGCCAGGCGCCTGAGTCAGACAAAAAAACACTCCCTTGGAACTTTCCTCAGAAACTCCACCCTCATGTGGAATCTCCTTCCTTTCTCTGGAAGACCCTAATTTGAATGTCACTGTGTCTCTCTGCTTTCTGAAAGGTCCATTGTCATCCCCAAATGAAAGAAGAGACGAAAGAAGTTACCACCAATGGAAGCAAATGGAGACAGTTTGGGGGAACTCCTGAACCTTTCTTGGAAGGTTTCGAACGAGGACGCTGGTCTTCTGCCAGTTTGGAGCTAGAAATGGTTTAAGTAGGGAGGAGACTCCTGCTCTGATCCCAGCCAGTGTGAAGAGAGCATCTCTCTATGGAGGCGATGCTTCAGACAGGCCCCGAAGGTTTGTCATCAGTCGGTTCGGTTGTGGGTCACTTTCTGCTCTCTGTAAAGCTCAGCTTTCAGCTTTGCAACACGAAATGATGTTTTGATGCTGTTGCTGATGGCCTCCAACCTATTAAAACACAATGAGAGAAAACAAATGTTATAAAGAATCATCACCCTTTGGCAAAAGAGACATCTAAAATTAGAATCTGGCACAAACAAATTTAAATCCGCTTCCTGAACTTTCACCACCAACCACAAGAGCATGCTAGCCTTTGATACAACCTCAAGTGGTATCTATTACCATTGTGAAAACAGAGCCTGCCTCTTATGCTTAGAATGGAGGAGAAGGGTCATATGGTCATGTCTAAGGGGAATTGGGTATTAAATACAATTTTAAAACTAACTAAAGATGTTCTAGCTTCTTCTGTAGCCCCATCCCAACTTCTACTACTGTGGGACTCTGGAAACTGAGCATAGGTTTCACACAGTCATGGGCATTTTCTTAATCACAGAAGAAGTTGAAGTTGACTTAGTTGGAAAGACAGAGAAAGAGAGGAAGCATACAGGTAGGCCTAAAACAAAAACTTTATGGCAATTAAAAAAGGGGGTTTTTTGCAGGAGAAGGAAAGACAAAGAACTGTAACATTGATTTAATAGTTCACATAACACAAACTAACAGAAAAAACAATAATTTCTGGGTCAGCTCAGAAACTGTGATCTTGTGGGAAGCATTACTGGCCTGAGGTCATAAATATGAAGGCTGCAATGGCAGGTGTGAAGGGACATCAGCTGAGGCCGTCCCACAAATCACTAGTCAACAACTCAGAAGTAATTCCTGACTGCTGGGCCTGTGCTCAGAACACTGATTATATCACTTCTTGCCACTGGATTTCTAGGAAAGGTTTCCATAGCCCATGATAGAGAAACGTAAAACACATAAGAGATCTGAAAGTAGGTTTCCTCCCTCGAACTTGTGAATTCCAAAGAGTTTAGCATTTGGAAAGACCATCTCCATAGAGCTGCTCATAGCAACTGTGTGGTATGCTTAAGCCAGGTCCCTTCTCTGCCCCAGCCCGTGACTGATGAGGAAACAAGAGAGCTTTCTGGAATGACATTGGCTCTCCACCAAATGCATTTCCCTATTTAAAAAAATAAGTAAATAAATAAACCTGAAAAACAGCATGTTCTAAATTTCACCAACCCTGCCTAATGACTTTATTTTCCCTTTGGGCTTTTGAATTACTGCTACTTTTTGAAGAATTTGATTACACACAACACTTTGATTTTTTTTTTAATGTCCTCTCCCTGAAATGATTTTTAACATCTCAGGGAAAGCAGTAAATACACTGACTCAGAGACGCAAAGGCTGGGTATGACCAAATGACAAAGGTGTCCCTGGATATATTTTGTTTGGAAAATCTACCTGCAGACTGATGTTGTGTGCTAAAATACAGCAGGCAGCATTCTGCATTCAAGGCTTTTGTGAAAATATTTGAGAGAGATTCCTTTGCTTTTTTTAAACTATAAAACACTAAGATCCCCTTTGTTACTGTTTTCTAAGCGTTTCCCCCACCTAGGTAAGAAGGACTGGGGACACACTGGTGACCAGGGCTAGCTGTTCTTGTAAGCCTCTTACCTTCTGATTTTTCTTTCTTCCACTAGTTGCTGAAGAATACACTTCTTTCCAAGTTTGGAACAGTCTTTTCCTTTCTTATGGTTATTCCAGCCTTTCTCCGTAGTGTCTTGAGCCCTGTTAAAATACACAGGGAAAAACATTTCAGCAATGGGACCTTCAGCTTTACCTTGACTTTCAACGTTTCTGCTACTATCTCTAAAACAAGAAGGCAGCATCGCAATAGGAAGGAGGACAGGAGGCTGTTAAACTGACTAAAAAGCAAAGATGTTTCTACTCACCTGAGTTCTTTTCCTGCTTGGCAAAAATTCCGGCACTTCTTGTCTTTTTGGCTGGCACACTGGCATCTATTCCTGTGGACTGCAGCCTTTGTAGGGAATAAATCCTTTAAGGATCTCCTGGACCTAGAAGGACTTCCAAGCCCATATGGAACAATGTGCCTATTACCAGAAGAGAAGAACAAAAGACATTAGCATAATTAATAGTCTTCAAAATGACACACTCTTTGGGCAAATTCATTCTATTGGGCACATGAAGAGTTAATTACCTAACTTATGAGAGTAAAGTGTCGCCACAGTAAGAAACATGTGCCCTTGATGGCCCAGGTGTGTGTACCCAACCAGGAGAAGCCCAGTTTTTCTAATTCAATGAAATTCCATCTCAACCCGTAAAGTTCAATTTCTCCCAAGCACAAACAACATTGTTTTTTGTCCAGAATTATGACATCTCTGCTTGGTGTCTGTTTCATATTTTCTTCCTTTTCTAATGTTCTATTTAGTTAATAGTTATTTGGGGGGATGTGGGGGGAGAGACTTCAATGCAAAACCATGACTCCCAAGATGTTTAAAACTTATTTTCAATTAAAATCATATATAATATTGCTACGAGTGTCCCCTGCAGAGGGGGCAGAAGACACATGTTTACACATTTCTCCTGCAGTTTGGTGACATCATACAGCTGCAGAAGGACTTAAAACCAGAAGGCTTTTCAATAACATCCGATGTGTCTGTTTTGATTCTCACCTAAGGAATAAAGTCCTCCCCTTGGAAGTATCTCTTTACTAAGTATTAGGTTCATTGTGGTTTTTATTTGGTTTGATTTGACTTGATTTAGATTTTGGTCATACTTGGCCATAATGGAACATTGCAGATATAATGAACGTGCTCTTGTTTGTGACTGCTTATGATAGATGACCTAGTGTTCAGGGAAAAAGGGAGAAAACTACTTTTCTTCTCTGTGGAGGTGGAAGAGGCACCTACTGACTGTATTTCTATTTCTGTCTTGAAATGGGCTTTTCTAAAGAGAAAGTACAGAAAAGGAAGGAGTCTCACGATCAAGTTCTAGCTCTGCCACAAACTCATTTCTGCAGGACTTCAACCTTTTGAGTCTTAATTTTCTGTAAGTAAATTGGATTATAACTCTCTATATAATCCCTTCTGCCTCTCTGTCTCTACCCTCCCATGGGAAGCACAGGTTGGACTAACCTGCATATGACCTCGGCAAATTATTCCCTGGACGCAGTCAGATCCCACAGCGAGAGCATGCCCCTGAGGCGCCCTCAGGTACAGCTCCTCATCTGAAATGGGCAGCACCTCCTGCTCCTCACCAGCCTCTGCCATTCATCCACTAGTGAGAAGCCTGAGCCACTAACCTCAGAAGATCCTCCCCTCAATTGCTAAGAACCAAGTTGTCCTAAGGAACGAAGGAGCACTGTCCCCACTGAGGCACTTTCATGTTGTCAGAAATGCTACCTTCAGAATCCAATCCAGGAGCTCCCCAGAAGAGGCACCCTGGGAACCGGGCTCCAGCCTCTGGGGAAGCCAGAGCTAATGGAAGACTGGAGCTACAATGCCCTCTAGAGACTCACTCGGGAGTGTTGACCCAGATGATGTCCAGATGGCAGAAGTAGACACACTCTTTATCCATCAAGGAAGAGCAGGAGCAGCGCTTGGACCGGCGGGGCCGCCACGATGCACTGGGAGAGGGCTTCTCCCCTCCGTCATCAGCCCCCGTGCTGAGCTCAGCACCCAAGACCGCTGGGGAGAGAAAGAGCAGGTCAGGGGGATGGCTCCTCCGAGGCCCAGGACACGCTGGATGACAGTAATTATGCCAGATTTAGCAGAGCAGATAAAGCAGATGAAGCAGGCAGCCTGCCTTCAGCGAGAAACACAGAGGCAAGAGGGTTCTTTATTTTTTCCCTCCTTAGCATGACTTCACCTTGACCCCCACTGGCTTATCCACCTTCAGGGAGATTATAAAATGCAGAGCAGACAAACACCTACAAAGGGACTTACCAGTTCCCCTGAAACAGCCTTCGAGGAAATGCTTGGAAATGCTGTCTGCTGGAAGTTTGGGTTGGCTTCTGCATGGAACTTAGTAGGACAGCACAACGTGCAGGGGCTTTAAATTGGCTGAAGACTAAATCACGCCACCTATTCCTAGCTTTGGGATCACTTTCCCATTCAGGATGACCTTCCATTTTGGGGGGGGGGTACCCATGTCATGGGGTAGCCCAGGTGATAAACACTACTTGAAATTAGGAGGAGGGCAGGAGCACGTGGGAAATCATGGGAAAGAGAAGAAAATGAACTCTACAGTATTCATTTCAAGTGGGAAACTCCACAGAAACCAGTGACCTACAGTGAACCTGGGCAGCGGCTCCGAGGACCTAGTGAAGGCTCTGTGGATTTTGAACTCAGTCTCTGGAGCAGTATGGCTTGTGCGGGATACGCCCCCCACCCCACCCCCTCCACTGCAGCACTCTCTCCCTACTGTCGATTTAGCCCTGCAGCTTTATCTGCCCAATTTTGTACATTTCAAATGATCAGACACATTCCAGGATTTGCATTCCCTTGACACCCTTTCTCTTTAGTCAGGGTCATAAAAAGACAAAAAAGTGCACTGACCCTAAAAATGGGGGGAAATGGGCAGATGCACACATACTGCCTAAATACTTAAGCAGCCACAACCTATCCTTTCACCCCTCCTTGGACAGGTGAATAAAACTGAAAATTGAGCTCACACTAGTTTGGGTGCCAAAAACCTGCCAAAAGAAACCTAAAGTCAATAATGACAAATTTTAAAGAAAACATCTGCTTTATCCTGAAACCGCCTGGGGGTTATTCAGCAAACTGTTGTTCTGCAGGTGATTTTACTGCTCATATATTGCTTGAATGACTTGAATAAAATTCCTTGGCTTCAAGCTGGAATGTTTAAATATTTTACACATTAACACACTATTAAAACAGTGCTTGAATAAGATATAGTTTTCTATATGTCCTATGTACCTGCATGAACACATATATTGCAAATATACATGTGGCTAAATTAAATCTTGTCTATACTCTATTTTTTTAAAAGCCAAGGAAATATATTATGCAATAATAATAATGATGATAGTAAAATATTCAGCTATTTTAATGCTCTGTTGTATTCAACTATACTCCGTTGCATTCAGTAGAGGATTTTTATTATTATTATTATTATTTCACTTAAGAAAACTTAAACAGCTTTGAGCAGTAATTCCCAGACACTTGCTCTCCGAGCTGCAATAATAAAAAGAAGAAGGAAAAACAGAGGCGAGAAAAGCATTAAGGTGGGTGAGAAGCCATGAACGTTCAGAGGTTTGTTCTGTTGTATTCAACTATACTCCGTTGCATTCAGTAGAGGAATTTTATTATTATTATTATTATTTCACTTAAGAAAACTTAAACAACTTTGAGCAGTAACTCCCAGACACTTGCTCTCCGAGCTGCAATAATAAAAAGAAGAGGGAAAAACAGAGGCGAGAAAAGCATTAAGGTGGGTGAGAAGCCATGAACGTTCAGAGGTTTGCAAGTCAGCGCGCCTACCTGTTTCTGGAGCTCCGTGGAAAGCCACAAACAGCAGAGAGAAAATCATGGGGAAATAATCCATTTTGAAAAAAAAGGGATCAAAAAACTTCTTCCCCGGCAAACTGAAAACGAAGAAAAACAGCTTCGGTTCCCCCAACGTGCTGCTGGTTGTTGGGCTCTCGGAGGGATCCCCCAGCCTCAGTGCCCTCTCACCGGGAGAAGACGCCTTTTCTGCCGGGAGAGCGGGCAGGGCCGCGGTGTGCAGCGCGCGCGGCGGTGGCGTGCGGGGACTGCCGCGGACACCGAGGACCCGCTCGCCCCGGCGCGGATGCAGAAGCGCTTCTGACTTGGACAGCTCTCCGCCGGCTTTTTATACGGAACCCCTATGCAGCGGGGGTAAACAGCTCCGACTTTATTCCAGCCCCAGACAATGTTATTGTGTTCTTAGTCACCAACAGGCAACGTGCAGCCGGAGATAAGGCCGGGCTCTAAAGGAAATCAGTGCGAACTTCAGAGGCAGACGCCCGCCGTCTGACAATCCAGGGGCAGGGCTAAGAAAAAGAAAATATCCATTAGAGACCTTTGGTAAACCTGCCCGTGCAGTGCGCAGTCTGCTTCCCCTTTGCAAGCTGCCAGCCCCAGAGTTCAGGAATCAGAAGAGGGACTCCAGAAAAAAGTCATGCCATTGGTATGAAAAGTATGAGCTACAGTTTAAATAGATGGTATTGTTGTGTGCAGGGAATTTTTTTAAATTGTTGTTCGCTTCATTTTCCTTTTATGTCTCTCGGATTTCTTAGTCTGGGACGGACAAGGGAGCGATCTCCGTCTTCACCCCCCCCCCCACTGGGGGTCAAATTATTTTGGCAGATCAATGCACTTTTCCTTATACCAAGTCCCCCCTTCTTCTTTTTTTTTTTTTCCTAAAGTTCTTTGAGTCTACAGTAAGAAAGACCCGTGAGGCATTGGCAAGGAAGGGGAGCTCAAAAAAATAATAAGATCACTCGTCAGCACGTACCCCATCTTCTCAATATCATTGACTGGAAGCTCGCATGAGCTCTTTTCCGTGCCCACCCTGCCCCTTCCAGATCCCCCCACTGTCAATACCATCAATTTTCAGAAATGGCGGGAGTAGACCACCAGGGGGCGATGAAGAGCTACAGGGGCTGATATTTTATTAGGACGAAAAGTAAAAGCTTTGGCTTCTAAATGACACAAGGAAACACAACCTGCGTTGCGGACAGAGGAAGGGCAGAGCATGGCGTCTAACATAAGAAAGGATACATTTCTGAATATTCAACTTCCTCCCTACACGGGGACATCTTTTCTGGGTCTCTTTGCTCTTTGGCTTCTTTATTGGGGGCACAAGGGTGTATTTTCTATACAAGGTTACGGGAACATGCAATGAGGGTGGTGTGGAGGAGGAGGAAATGCCTATGCTGAAAACTTCCTCCCTACACGGGGACATCTTTTCTGGGTCTCTTTGCTCTTTGGCTTCTTTATTGGGGGCACAAGGGTGTATTTTCTGTACAAGGTTACGGGAACATGCAATGAGGGTGGTGTGGAGGAGGAGGAAATGCCTATGCTGAATACTGGGATCAGATAATACCTCACATTTAATAAAGTGTTTACATTTTCAAAACAATTTCCTGTCTATTTAACCTTAAAATACCCCCTGAGGTGCCCATGGGGCAGTTACTGTACAGGTGACAGCATGCCTTAATGAATAAAGCAAAGCAGTGACGTAAGACATTGGTCTTAAAATTAGCCCCATTTTTCAGGTAAGAAAACCGAGGCACCCAGAATTTACATGCTCCACCAAAGATTTCATAGTGTGCCCATAAGACCTACAGGATAGATACAGAGTCTCTTCCCTGCACAGGAAAAAGATGGGCCTATATCTAACACCTAGGGACACCGTCAAATAGATGCTTTCTCCATCTCCTCATCTTGTTTTACTCCAATTTTCCCTGGGACGTGGGACTTAAGCATGGACCACGTCCAATCCTCGCACAACTCAGGAGGATCCCACTGAACCATTTCTTCCTCCCCCTTGCTTACCATTCACCTCCAGAATCAAAAGGACAGATTTTATCCCAACACCAAAGCGGTGAACTTGGACACACTTGGGCTCCTGGACCTCCCTGGGAGTCACAGTTGGGGAGACAGTAACAGTAGCAGTGTCAGGTCCATAGTGAAATCTGTCCCCTACAAGAACTCTTGCAGCAAGAGATGGAGGAAAGGCAGGAACCCTCCCTCCCACACCTACACCCACACCCACACCCAGACATGCCTCCACCCAATCCCCAGGGGCCTCTGCAGTATGCTTGCAGTATGCTTACCTCAGCCCAGCGCCCGGCCACCCGGGGAGGCCACAGCTCTGCTAGGCTGGGCAGCACCAGGCAGGAAGCTAGCTCTGCCTGCTCAGTTTGGGCTGGGGTGTCCTTACCTCCCTCCCCCCAGCAGACCTTGGGGACAGGAGAGAAGAGCTGATGTCACACTCACAAGCTCCAAGCTCCCCCCGACCCCCCAGTGGGAGAAAAGTGGTTGGGAAATTGGAAAATGTGTCTTGGCAGGAACCCCCCCACCCTGCTTTCGTTAACCTTTTGGCAACTTTCACCAAACACTGGCAACAGTCAGGACCAACCTGTCCTCAGCCCCTCCCCGGAAACCACCGCCTCCGCTCTCCCCAGTCTCCTCCCGGGTCCAGCCTGGGCTACCCTGCAGCTGGGGAGCCCATCGCCCAACCCCACGCACCCCCACCTTGCTGAAGCTGCCCCTGCAGGTTCTGACAGCACTCAGGGATCAGGTGAAGAAATGAAGCAAAAGGAAACTGCCCACGCGCCTTCCACCGGCCCTCCCTCCTCTCCTGTCCTGCGTGTCATCCCGCAAATGTATTTGAGTTGGCAATGCAAAACCTGGGCAGCGATCTGCCCCCGCCTGGGCCTTCTAGAGCTCTGTTAAAGTAAACAGTAAGTTAAAATGTAGGATTTCAAAGCTGGGAGTGCCCCAGAACTCCAAGTATAATCTTGCCCCCATCTCTTTGAATCCTGGGTTTCCAAGAGGTGTGTGTATGCGGGCGTGTGTGTGTGTTTCCATGTATCTCTCTTTCTGTGTCTTTGGGCAAAGGGTGATATTGGCCTTCTCCGTCTGTATCTCCATCTCTACTTCTTGCAGCAGCCCCTTTTCCTCCTTGCAGGAGGAAGGGGAAGCCCCATTCAAGCACAGAGAAGGCAGCTATGGCAAGGCCAGGCAGCGTCCCAGCAAGATATTTTCCCAAGGATCAAGGGGGTGGGGGGGTGGAGAACCCCAACAAACCAGTTTTACAAGCTAGATGTCCCCACCCCTCCTCCACTTAAGGCATTGCTAGAGAGGGAGACAGGACAGGAGGTTAAAAGAGCTGGACAAAGGAATAAATATGGAGGTTTTGTAAATATGGAGGTGCCGTCACAGACCCCCACCCCACTCCTCAAAAAACCACCAGGAGAAGCACTCTTTGCAGCCACAGTCATCCTCAGAGAGGAAAGGGGGAAAGAGATAAAGAAGGTGAGTTTTTTCTCCCAATAGAACAGTCAGCCGTTGCTGTTCTTGCTTTTGGTGTTACACCCACATGCCGGAAACTATGTGACAAAGCCAGTTTTTATGTATTTCTTTCTGTATCTCCTGCTGTGTATTAATAGATATCTATAAATAAAATACCCTGAGCCCCAAATGCAGATACTACACAGTAGCAAAGTGCTTTGTTTTTAGCACTCTTCAGCTTTGCTCTTTCTCAAAACTTTTGCGTAATCAAATTTGCAACTTTGCCAAGCCAATAAAATTTTGTGTCAGATGTTGCATTTAGCTCAGCAAAGAGAATAGCCGTTAGGTTTCTGGGCAATCGCACAAAGAATGGAGAACTCGTTTATTGTAGGCAACGTGAAACTATCCACACCACTAGGCCTGGATCAACCATGTGTTGGTGGCTGCTTTACATTTCTACTTTGTGCAGCACCGCACAAAGAATGGAGAACTCGTTTATTGTAGGCAACATGAAACTATCCACGCCACTAGGCCTGGATCAACCATGTGTTGGTGGCTGCTTTACATTTCTACTTTGTGCAGCACCGTCATTACATGCCTCTGATGTCTTTACACACCTCCAGGAGCCATGAACAAACACAGTGTCTTTCTACAGTCCAAAACATAATGGTTGACTTAGCCTAGGACATATGAAGACGGTCAGGATAGATTCATCCCATGCATTTAAAAAAATATATAACATATGCAATTCTATTTCCTTAAACACTTGTCTATTGGATCATAATGGCCAGCAAGGTTTAGTTTAAAAGAGCATGTCCAACTCTCTGACCTATCATTTCCCAAGGTTGTCTTTATAAACATCCCTCACAATTTTTGCCACATCTGTATGCCACCAGTACATTTTTACTTAATATTTTCCTTTCAGCTGACTTCTTTTACTCGAATAATTGTAAGGAAAATTTATATCACCACTACCCTAAGCAATACACAAATCACAGTTTGTCTCACAATTTTTGCCACATCTGTATGCCACCAGTACATTTTTACTTAATATTTTCCTTTCAACTGACTTCTTTTACTTGAATAATTGTAAGGAAAATTTATATCACCACTACCCTAAGCAATACACAAATCACAGTTTGTGTGGTTCAATAATGTACATGAAGTCATGGCTCAATACATGTTAAACATTTAATTATTGTATATTCATGAAGCTACTAGAATACAGATGTTCATATATATGCTCTTGCCTTATATATGAACACCAGCATGTCTGTCACTCTTGTATAATACTCTTCTATGCACTGCTGTGCCTTATGCCTTTCTGTGTTAAGAATTAAGCCCCGGTTTAGTGCCCCTCTCTGACCTCTACTTCCAAGATAACCTCCAAATATCTCACATGGAAATGATCATATGAATGCTCCTCAAAGAAACAGACGTCTGTCATCCAGAATCTAGAAAAACAAAAAATTCACATCCAGAAAAGCTCCTAGCGGGCTCTTACCCTTGACATATCGTGTCAGTGTTAGGTCAGTTGTCCCTTATCTTACTTTCCATACTCTATCCCATATTTAAATATCCCCTCAGTGTTTTCACTGACACACATGCACCCACACGTATGAACTTCCAGATTAGAATGGGAGAGTGACAATAATATTTCACACATCACAGAAGAATGTGACAGCCTGTGGCTGCCTCCTGATCTTTTTCTTTTTAATTTTAGTTCTATGTTAATCACAACATCTGGAACTAAAGAGACCCTGATGCAGGGGGGGAAATAAGAAACTCATGTGAAAGCAATGGAGTAAAGTCAAGTCA